TATGTATATGACTTAATAGAAATATCACCACATTAAATTATATTATCAAGAAATATATACTAATTATTTAAAATTTTAATTTAATGTAAAATTACTTATTTTTATTCATGTATTTAATTAAAATGATTCACTAAATATAAATATATTCATGACATATAATTAAGTTAAGTATCACATCACAATTATTAGAAAATAATTATTTTTATTGATAATATTTTAATTAATTTATATAATATTTTTATTTATTTTCTAAAATAAATGTTTATCCTTTTCTAAAAGATAAAAATTTATTATTATTATTATTGGATTTCACTCATCGTCCTGAATTTAAAAATTTTAGTTGATGCAAAAAATATATTAAAAATATATAATAAAAATAATAAATTTAATTATTTTTAATTTATCTTTTTCTATGATTGATCACCATCAATTATTTTATAATTATAAATAATTATGTTAATTTTTAAAGTGGGTTAAACAATTTATTTTTCTCTTTGAATATTGTAACACCCAACATTTATTTTATTTTTTATTTTATTTTTTTATAAATATAATTATTTATTTATTGAATTTAATTTAATTTAATTTATTTTAATTTGATTTAATGAAAATAATAATAATAATAATAATAATAATAGTAAAAAATTAGTTAAGAATTTAATTGAAAATAATTTTGAGAAAAAAGAGTAAAAATTTGAGTTCTAGAAGTATTTTTGAAAGAAAAATCAGAAACTGGGAGTCAAAATATAATTTAGAAAAATTATACTATGTCAAATACCCGGTCAGCAACCCCGACCAATTAGGACACGTCAGGTGGCAGAGGCGCTGACGTAGGAGGCCACGTGGGCGATCTGCGTGCGCGCGATCGAACGGCTGAGATCATACCTGCGCGCACGGACGACCCAGATTGAAAATGCGGACGGACGGCCCAGATTGCATTACATACGGACGGTCTAGATTGAATCGCGCACGGATAGTTCAGATTGAATCGCGATGAACGGTCTAGATTCACTCTCTATTTAATCGCGATCGGACGGTTCAAATTAAAAGTGATGGACAGCCCAGATCAAAAGCGGATTGGCATAAATAACCTCATCCGCACCCAAACCCTAACCCTAGCCGCCAGAGCCCCTCGTCAGAGAAGACAACCCAGCAGCCGGGGAGCTGACCGCTGCCACTCGCCGCCGCACCGAAGCAATTTCTGACCGCTAAACAAGGTAAAAAAATTTCTTCTTGCACGAAATTCAATTTTAAACCCACCCATAGCTAAATTAGAGTGAAAGAACCGGCCAATTGGTCGAAAAACGCCGTCGAAGCTCAGCGCCACAGCCGCAGGGTGTTTCGAAAAATACCTCCAATGAGGCCCTTTCCGATTCTCGTTCAATGTTATTTTTCTACCGTTGTGATCATCGTTTCCTTCTCTACAAGTTGACCGGAGCAAAACACTCAACCGCAACATGAGCCAGAGGAGTCACCGTACCCGAGAGCCCCACCATCGACGAGTTTTGATTTTTTACATTTTTTCGGCCAATCAAGAGCCCTAAGTGTGTTTTCTCGTAGAATCGATGCAAGTTTGGCTTAATTTGGGCCGAAAAAATGTAGAAATCGAAACTCACCGCCGTGCCGGATTTTCAAAATTGGCCGAATAGGCCCTATGACTGATTTTTGGTTTATTGGACATTTGTAGTACCGTAAACGCATTCAT